CTTAAAACTTTTTTTCTTATTATTAATTAGCGAATAATATTATTATGGCGAATACATCTTCTTTCTTCTTCTTCGAGATAATAAAGAAGATACATTCGCCGTAATAATATTATTCGTTATAATAAAATTACTTTATTCATAATACAAATAGATTATACATAACGGCGAATAATATTGGTATTTCAATTTTTTACAAGTGTTTACGAACACTTTTGGGATAAACTTGTATTAAAATTTGTTCAAATATTATTCCCTTTAAATAAAAGACAATTTTCTTAGGGAATTCAACAATGTAGTAATACCTGTCTTTTTATCAAAAATTGGAGCGGTTGAAGACTCTAGCTGTCATTGTGGCAACGAATTCCAGGACTCGAGACACCTACTGCTGGAATGCCCACTCTTCTTCACCGCTAGACAACAGACAATAAATAATGTTGTAGATCTATATCAATTTGTAAATAGCAGAGAGAATTATCATAGGTTTAACTATTTTTGTAGATATATTTATGATTATCTTTCTAACCTGAAAGGTTCAGGTTCCTAATATATATTATTGTTTCTCTTTTTTTATTTTTGATTACCTTTTCTTGTATAATATGTTTATAACTGTTTCTGTTTTAAAAAAAAAATTAAATCGACGCAATTATCCCTAGCCGGGATATTACGTTTTGTGTGTTGAAATAAATAAATAAAGTTATACCTGTCTAAGGGCTGTTACACCTGAAAACTTGCATTGCTGTTATATATATAAAAGAAATTCTTCCTTCAGTGAATTATTTTATTTATAATTTGACCAAAGGGATTATAATATTGTCGCGATATCAGAGTTTTATTGATCAATTGATAAACTTTGTGAGTGATGTTTTCCTCACAACAAAACTAGAAACAAGAAAATGAAAAATCGCTTACAGAATTTACATACGTTCCTTATATAACATAAATTTATTTACATATTTACTAATAGAGACATTTGATTACATTTGATTTACATAAACTAATTTCGTGACAATATTAACAAGTTCTCATATTATTCCCTTTATTAATAGAGTTTGCCTTTTCAATGGATCACATCCCTATATATTATTCTACAAACCATTTCGCTTAATAAAATCTTTCTATATCTATAATTTTTCTTGTTTATAGCGCTCCCTTAGTCTTGTTAGTTCAAACTTTATTTGTATTTGTTGACTTTGCTTAGAATTATTAATGAAACTGATTCCAATAATTATTAATTAAACATTATATTTATTGATTTACAAGAGAGAGAACAAAATATAAAAGGGAAACTAATATTGAAACAAAGGAACTTTTTTCTGTTTCGGTTAGCGCCTATTTACCTGTGAGCTAACACACACTCTGTGATAACAATTAATTAATATATATACAACAGTATTGGTCTTTTTTTTCAGTAGTGTGGAGACATAAATTTCATTGTTTCTTTTACTCTTCTTCTTTTGTTTTCTTTATCCTTTTTTCTATATCCAAAATGCCATTTAACTTAGGGCAAATATTGAAAAAAATACATTTTTGTATGATATTCTTTGACAGTATACAGAATTACTGTGGAATCTCCTAATCTACCTGTGTAAAGAAAGCAAGGTTCAGTAACCACAGCACACAGTCAAACTGATGACTCAAACATTTGAGATGTGAAAATAATTGAAGGGTTTTTTTTTATAAGTTTAAAGTAAAAGTTTAATGTTTCTCAACTTTTCCACATTCCATACGTATTGATAAAAATAACTAATCTGTTACAATATTGACAAACTAGAAAAGAGTTAAAATTACTTTAAAGAAAGAATTTCCCCATCTTAGATATTAAAAAAAGAAATCATTGATTGGCAAAGGATTAATTCTTTTGAAGACATTCTATTGAAGTTTTTAGTTGAAGGGTGTGGATGAGAATTGATCTGATGGACGAAATATTTCGATGAATCCACAGAGGTACATCGCGGAAGTCTCAAGGTCACAGTCATTTTGATTCTTTTGTTATTTGAGATGCTATAGTCAGCAACCTCCAATCCTTTAATGAAATCTGCAGGTGCACATTCACCTAAGTTTTTATTCAGGAGATTGACATCTTCACAATAATTTCCCAATTCCACATTAAATTACTTACAGAAAGTTGTCCTTTACTTCAAATTGGGTTTTCCAAAAAGAAAATACATTCTTTCTTGTCTTTCAACTCATTCTGGGATTACCCAGAAATTGTAGTTGTCTCACATTGTCGAATTTCTAAATTATAGCAATCGTCTAATGCTGATTCTCTTCTACGAAGTTCTCTTCTTTAATGCCCTGTTGAAAGCAGGTTTTATATGGACAGTGGTAAAACGCTCTTCTTCGTTTTAGTTTCGTACTGTAACAAGAAAAAATACCAATTCTTTGAACATAGCAAGGATTTATTTATTACTAATAGTTATAGTGGATATATTTATTTCAGGAGAATCGCTTCCAAGAATGGTATGCCTCCTCAATCAGATTATTCAAAGGCGTTCAATATCTAGCCCTAGTTTGATTGTAAGATGTTTCTTTGATCCACTTGGTCTATTCATTGAAAATTTCCATACGAAAAATAAAGTTTAGTGTTTCATTTAGCTTTCCAAATCCATATTTCATTAACCTAATATTAGATGACTTCGCCATTCGAAGGAGATTCCAACCTTAAGGACAAATATGTTGGAATATTTCACAGAGTAGCAATAGCTATAGATCTATAAAAATAAAGATCCCTATTTCATTCAAAATAGACTCTAAAACTAAGCACCATCTCTAAAACCTAGTGGACTCAGGTCACAAGTCACAAGACCAGCTTTAGCAAACTAAGAACAATTCCATCTATAGCATTAAAGTTAAACCTGATAGGTTTTAAAACTCGTGTTTATACGATGGAATGATAAAAAGAAACATCTACTTCGCACATATGCTTTGCGCTATAGTAACTTTTTAATTCCGATTTAATAAGCACATATTTTATTTATTACCAGTTAAGACACGCTATATCCGATCTGGATAATTGCGCGTGAAACTATTTACAATAATTGTAGTAGAGTAAGTAACAGAATTGTCAAAAAGAAAATAAAGAATTAAGAAAAAGAGCATTAAACAAATAAGCAAAAACATAAGCAGATAGAAGAAACCACAAGGTAGTTATTTACAGTATGTTAAGCAATGATGGAAGTTGATTTAATGAAGTTATCTGTAATAATTTGTATCGTGGAGAGAGAAAGTTGATCGAGTTGAGTTATTTACAATGAGTTATATTCTAAAGTAACTTATTAATTATTTACATTGATGTAAATCAAGTCGCATAGTAGTGTAGTTCCTCAAGCTGCACATATGGTAAGATCCAATTTCGAGAGTTGCTTACCGACCGTTATATATCTAAGAAGATTATTAGTTATCTAAATTTCTGCTGTGTGTGTGTGTGTGTGTGTTTTATTTTTACTCATTTTTCAAAATGAACAATGATTAATCATAGTTAAAATTATCTACAACAGAATTTAGAGGGTTGAAGGCCTCTAAATTTTGACTATTGTTCAATGCTTCATCAAATTTAGAACTTGAAACTCGTGGAAACTCTATGGTTTAGAATCATTTCAACTTCAACACAACATTCTGGAATAAAGTCAGTTGACAAAGGAAATGAGAAAATAAGGAATTCAGATGAAAGAAGAATGGTACAGTAGCTATAAAGAGGTAAGTAGAAGAGATTGTCAAAAAGAAGAACTAGATAATGAAAGGAAAAGTTAAGTAAACAAAGAAGAAATAGAAGTTAATGAAGATCAATTGATGAAATAGATACAAAAATTTTCAAAATGGCTTCAAATTCTCATTTTCGACATCCATATTGGCCTACTCTTAATTAATATCTGCTTACTCATCTAATTTTTTTTTAAGTTCCATTATACCAGGGGTCGGTAATCTTTTGAGTCGGAAGAGTCAAAAATTACAATTTACAAAATTTCAAAGTTTTTAAAGGGCCACAAATTGTTTTCTTGCCAAAAATAAATAGTGTTGGTATAAATAAGTTTTTATTTATGCGAGTACTATTTATTGTTGGCGATAAAAACATGTGTGACTCTTTAAAAACTTCGAAATTTTGTAAATTGTAATTCACACGCAGTTTCACATCCAAAGAGCCACAGTTTGCCGACCCTTGCACTATACCATTCCAACTACGATAACAAATTTTCATCGTCACCGATAATGCATATAAAATTATAATTCCTTAAAATTGTTTTATAATTTTTTATTCAAATGAATATAAAATAATAAAATACTAAAGGAGAGAATGTATTGTTGAAGATGATAAAAGAATACAAACAGAAATAAATTTGGAGAAAGAAGAGGAAACAACGAAAAGAAAATTTAAACCTTTCTATAAATACAATAAAGTTCTAAATTTGAAGACGTTCTCACATTTGTAGATTTTACCATCATTAAAGAGATCTTTAAATTGACAATATAATTCCCATATCAAATTTAAATGTGGGAACCATCTTAAAGTTTTAAAAGAGTTTTCCAGTAATTATTTTAGAGAAGATATAGATAAGGATCTTGAAAAGCTCTTTCAAACAAAAGGCAAATTTGTTACATGAGTAAATATTTGAGGATTTGACGAGATGAGAGTTGCAGCAACTATAATGGTACTGCGTGACCACGATAATTGTAATCGGACATTTTAAAACGTCGTCGTTTTGTAAGCTCCTCTTTGTTCTCTTCCACACGTGACTCTTGCAGATGCTGCTTCACCTACAAATTGGACTCCATGCCCTCTAAGACCTTTCCAAACTGGTCTTCAAGGTGCTATGGTGATCTCTCTCAAATTTATCTTTGTCTTCTTATACTAACGATATTGAAGTAATTCATGTTCTCTCTCTCTCTTTTTTTTTTATATTTATGAACGTTGTAATAAATCAGTGTCAATCTCAAATCTTTCTCTCTCTGTCTTTGCATAAGGTCACCGGTTCGATTCCGGGCGGGAAATTTTTTTTTTCATCGACCCATTAGCTCAGCTGATTAGAGTGTCGTGCTGATAATGCGAAGGTTGTGGGTTCGATTCCCCCATAGGCCACTTTTTTTGGCTCAAAATTCATACACTTTTGTTAGTAACCCGTAAAACCATTATCTCTCTTTCCATCTTTCCCGCGGTGGGCGCCACCAATGACGACATATTGTATATATATTTTATATATATATGTATATTTATCAATTATTTCATATATTTACACATCTATTTATTCCATTTTATATAATTTTATTTATTCATATTCATTTATTTTGTACTAGACGAAAGGCCCGGGCAACGCCCGGGGTTTACCCGAGTGCGAATATATTTTAAAAACGTTGTCTTGGGTGGTCGCTATTGACAGGGTGGTCTGTATAGACAGGTGGATGTATCACACAGCTGATAACAGGGTTGTCTAGAGTGGTCGCTATAGACAGGGTGGTCTGTATAGACAGGTGGATGTATCACACTGCTGATAACAGGGCTGCCTAAGGTGACCGCTATAGACAGGGTGGTCTGTATAGACAGGTGAATGTAACACACTGATGATAACAGGGTTGCCTAAGGTGACCGCTATAGACAGGGTGGTCTGTATAGACAGGCAGCTGATAACAGGGTTGTCTAGAGTGGTCGCTATAGTCAGGGTGGTCTGTATAGACAGGTGTATGTATCACACTGCTGTTAACAGGGTTGCCTAGAGTGACCGCTATGGACAGGGTGGTCTGTATAGACAGGTGAATTTAACACACTGATGATAACAGGGTTGTCTAGAGTGGCCGCTATAGACAGGTGTATGTATCACACAGCAGATACCAGGGTTGTCTAGAATGGCCGCCATATACAGGGTGGTCTGTATAGACAGGTGGATGTATCACACAGCTGATATCAGGGTTGTCTAGAGTGGCCGCTATAGACAGAGTGGTCTGTTTAGACAGGTGGATGTAGCACACTGCTGATAACAGGGTTGTCTAGAGTGGCCGCTATAGACAGGTGTATGTATCGCACAGCTGATAACAGGGTTGTCTAGAGGGGGGCATGGAGGCCACGTGTTCGCTGGCAGTCAATAGGCGCGCATTCTATCCGTGAGCTTCAGACATACAGACAAACAGACAGAATAAGGCAAATATATAAGTAGATCTTATATGAACGATTAATAAAAGTATTCAATCTCTCTCTCCCGCAACTATAACAACAAAACGCGCTGTCCTGCTAAGGATACTGAAAAGAGAGAAAATAGATAAAATATAAAAAAACTCACTATTAGATTTAAACTTGTGAAAAAGTCGGGATGGGAGACATTGCAGAAATTTTGTTGAAGCAAGAAGTTGAATATTCTTTGAGTGTGAAAGCTTGCAAAAAATAGGAATGAATGGATTGTTGCGATGAAGAAAGAATTGAAATCTATTAACGAACATGAAGTATGGACTTTAATTCCTAGAGAAGAGAATATGAAGATAATAAATAGCAAAAAGTAGCCAATGTGGGATTCGATACCAGATCATGTGGATGTCAAGAAATTCGACAGTGTTTACTCCCCATTACACCATTAAGAATTACAAAAGAAATCCCCCACCTACATGGAAATGGATCCTATCCAAGGTGAGTATTTCACACCAGCAAATATGGAAGTATCGGGTGAAACGACCGTATTACGTGATCCTTATGTCGTCTGATCAATTTCAGCATCGCCAGCGTGGGTGAGGAAGTGAGGCTCTTCCTGTCACCAGACTTGGCAAATGTTTGCCCAGAAGAATTCTGCAACTGCCGCCCCACCTTCTCTCGTAAATCACCACGACTAGCGCAAAATGATTTTTTAAAACTTCTTTCTAAGAATTTTAGTGCTAATCTTTAGTTTTAGCTATCTATATATCTTTCCCGAATTCACGTTTTCTCGCGGCCAGGCTGCAGTTGTATCATTTTTGTTTAAAGCTCAGTTTGTTTTCTTATTTTAATAGTCAATTATTTTTTTTATTACCTGTTGAAGGGCGTGACTGCCCGAAAGCTTGTCACAAGTTTAATTGAATAAAAATCTTTTCTCCTTACTCTTCTTTATCGTTTATACAATCTATGGAGAAAGTTTTCAAGTAATTTTATGTATATTTGTCAATTATCTTTATCTATATATTCCTATATTTATCATTATATAATCTTATTTATTCGTATTTATTCAATTATGTAATTAACCTTATATAATCATATATGAACATTGTAATAAATCAGTTTCTCAATCTCAATCTCTCTCTCTGAAATACAAAACAATGCAACAGATGACCAACGGTTGAAATCTTGAGCTCGACCATCTTGGATAAACCTGATTGAAAAGGAACACAAGACATAGGATGTATTCATTTTAAATAATAAATAAAACAAAATCGATATAAAAATACACAGATATAGTTTTACACTTTATATTTCTAAAATGGAATCTATCGTGGGAGTTTTTATTTTATTCCAGGAGAAAACTTACAAGCCAGGTTCATTTAAAATCTTTTAGCTTTTCGATATTTTCAAAAATAAAGACCTAAACGCGTTGAACATAAAGATTTCAAAGAATCAAAACAAAAGGTTCCCTATCAAAATTGATAATCTTGAATATAAAAAGTTAAGAAAAATGTTTATTTTAAATGAATTTTAAGGCTTTAGAAGAGAAGTTTTTATTTTTAAATTGGCAATCTATCAAATCTAAATATATCGACTCTAAATTAACAAACGATTACGACACAAAATGTATTTGCATATAACATAAGATGCTGAGTGTTTGGATACGAAGAACTTTCAGAACAATTCCAAGTTTAATAATTGTAAATATTCTATTCATTTACATTTTCTTTCATTTTTCAACTTTACGATTTGTTGTCAATTTTATTTAGAAAGAGAGACAAATTTATAAAAAAAAATTTTTTTGTTTGTAATTTTTTGATAATATTATTGAACACTATTTCCACACACACACACAATTGCAATGTAGTTTATAAACATTTCATACACAATAAATATACCGAGTTAAAAAGAAAACAATACCTCTAAATATGTGAAATCGTTTATATATACTTATATAATTCCTATCTCTCTCTCTCTATCTTGGTCTTGAGTTGGGTAATGCCAGCCATCACCTCGACCTGTCCACTCTGTGGGAAAGAACTCTCGCAGTCCATCAGTGGCGGAGTCTTTCCCGCGATGGGCGCCACCAATGAAGACTGTATATATATTATATATATAAGTATATTTATCAATTATTTTATATTTTTTTATCTATTTATTCCTATATTTAGCATTATATAATCATTTTTATTCATATTTATATTTATTCTGTATTTAACCTTATATAATCTTATATGGACTTTGAAATAAAGTAGTTTCAATCTCAATCTCTTTCTATAAAAGCTATTATAGGGAGGAGATAGTCTCCCCTTCTAACAGGGAGGACGGGTATCTGTCACCTGAGCAGAAGTCTGAAGCTATTCCTCAACATGGCAATAGTCGGGGAGATCTGTCCGACTTCAGGGTGTGACATCATACCAGACGACCATCAGTAGGATTCCTCTGATGAAAATAATATTTAATTTTACTTTTTTTTTCTCTTATTAACCCTATATAATCTTATATGTATGGTTAATAAAAGTATATTGAATATTTCAATCTCTCTTTGTCTCCAGACATCGGGCAGCCCCCGGACCTTCAGTCCTGGATCTTCGCGGTGGGTCTCGAGGACCATGCCATCACCATCTCCTCAGCGGCGTAGCACGCGATCTACGTTTTTTTCGTAGATCGCGAAATGCGTGGTATCGCTGAAGACCCGTTGGCGATCTTCCATCAAACTCTGCAGCGGTGACGTCATGTACATATTCATTGTACATAGCATATATTTTATTATATATTTTCTTTTTCTTTCTTTTTTATTATTTTTTTCATATCTACTTGAATAGTGCGGACTGTACACTTTTGTCTATATTTTGACGGGATGTCAATAAAACTATGTCATTTGTCTCTATCTCCAGATATGTATCTTTATAATCCATTAGAAGAAAGTGTTCTTCAATTGAAGGTAAGTGAGAAGGGTCTCCCATAAGTGATCCATTATAGAAGAAGAGAGGCAAATGTAAACAATGGCAGTTATCCTATTCAGGATCACCACGGCGTGAAGAAGATAACCACAGGATCCAGGAAGAAAGATCTTCAGGTAATGAATATCATAACAGTTACATGGCTTGTAGCATCTTCCGTCAGAAAGATGACTGACAGAATTGCGTGGGACGTTGTCATCTTGAACGCCTCTTCATGCATCCTTCCTTTCTACTTTTGCTTTTTTTAATTATATATATATAATTACCGTGAAAACTAGCTTTCTAACGGAATTTAATCACCTATTGAAGATCCTTGTCTGAAAGTTTTATCATTTTAAGAATAAATAAAGAAATAAATTATTGAAATAGTGATCAAATTTCTGTATACAACTTGTTGTTGTTTCTTATCCCTTGTGTAAAGATTACACAAATTCGATGAGTTCATGCTCCTCGAGCTGTTTGATGATAAGCAGCGGCCTCTCCCAAAGGTCCTGTTTAGTACATCTAAAGCAAGCCAAAATGTGTTCTGGAGCTGTAGGTGCCAAGCTACATTTCGGGCAAGTGGGGTAATTTTTTTTTATTATTTTCTATCTTCAATGGCTTGAGATGGCCTGTTCTAAATCTTGTTAGTGTTGTTTGATGCTGTCTATTTCTAATGTTCAGAGCTCCTCCTGGGTCCACTCCACTGTACCAACTGTGGCCGGCTTGTGGACCGAAATGTCTGGGTAGCCATTACTGCTCCAGGGATGTACCAACTGGGTATACAATTTTGATGTATATTAAATACAAGGTTATCCCAAAAGTTCGTAAACACTTAATGAAAATTTGAAACACCAATATTATTCGCCGTTAAGTATAATATCTTTGTATTATGTATATAGTAATTGTATTATGTATTATTATGTATTCGCCGCGATAATATTATTCACCAAATAATAAGAAAAACACGAACTTTTAGGACAACCTTATATATTGTTGAGCCAAATTACAGATATGCAAGGT